AGAAGATAAACGGTGGAAGAGCAAGAAAAGGAGAGCGCCGGGAGCGTCGAATCACGGGACTCTCGTTGTGAAATTGTCTCTAAACACTGTTCGAACGCGCTCAAACTCCGAACGCCTGTGTCCGGCGTTCGAACGCTATACAGTTGGCTAGGAGCAGACGACGCTCTTGTTCTTTTCGGTTGGAGGGAGACAGTGGGTAGAGTAAAAGACATATATCCCTTCCTTCTGCACACTGCTGCTTCCAATCAAAATAAAAACTCTGACATCCTCGTGCAGTCTCATCCTCAGTTTTTTTTTTCTGAATAAGAAAGAAACCAGAATGTCTTTAGCTTTGCTGGTGTTCTCTTCTTTGTTCGTAATTCAGTGGATCAGATACCCGCAATCCGTTGTATTCTATTACAAGCAGCAGTAAGACGTCCGCCGAGTTTAGCAGGACAGAGATTACGTAATCGAAAGGGGCAAGGATAGAGGGAGTTCCACCAAATGTCTGGGGCAAAGTATTTTTTCTTTTTTGAATTTCTCTTTATATGAGATCGCGCGTATCTGTGGGTTGCAGAGAGGGACATTCTAGCTCGATGAACAGCGGTGGTGTGTACCTTTCCCGGCACACCCCGCCGTTCTTATCCACCCAATGACAGTAGACAAGTAAAATGTGTCTGCCGCAGATAATGGTCAAATTTCAGTTAAAACTGCTCCACATAAATACCACGAGGTACTTGCCACTCCATAGCGTAAATCCGAGGATAATGAAAGAAAAGACAGTGGCCATGACGACTTATGTATGTGACGTCCCGAGTGGCTGGTGCTAATTACGGTCTGAAAGGAGCTTCTATTGAATTCTTAAAGTTGGTTGGGCCACAAGTGTCAAGAAATTAACATTACGCGAAAAAAAGAAAGAAATGAGAGCAATATTGCGGGCGAGAGAATTTTTTGCAATTATGTGCTCGAAGTCCATGCCGTTGCGGGTCATTCCGGTTTGACCATATTGGTCGTAAAGGTGAAGCCCATCGACCTCTCATCCACGCGCCCAGTATGCCGAGCAAGAAAACAGGTGGAAAGGAGTTGACTGCTGACTGAATCGCGTCTCCCGCCATCGATATTGCTCTAATTTTTTTTCTTGCCTAAACTTACTTTTTTTGACACACGTGCCCCATTTAAATTGATAAAAAAAAAAAAAGATTTTTCTTTTTTTTTCAGGGGCTCTTTAACTTGTGTCTGACTACTAGGGCTTACTACTACTTCGTGTTTTTTCTTTTAGCACTGGTGGAAAGTTTTCAGCAGTGTATTTTTTAGACCTGCACAAACTTACCGAACTTTGAAGCGCATATCGACATGGGCACAAGAAGAATTTAGTGTAACACCTTTGTGCGACCCACGTCTCATACATTTTATCTGTTCATTGGTTTTATTTATAACTTGCATAAGCTGTGAGTTGAGTTCCTTGTTCATCGATCTTAAATTTATATGAAAGAGAGAACATCATCGATTTTTCTGTTGGCGATTGTATGACAGAATTACATTTGCTTATGTTTAATAAAAAAAAGTATCGCTTTAGAAAAGACAATAACAGTATTAAATCTTCCACGAATATTTTATTTTTTTTCAAATATGCTTCTTTACTTTGTGAACCAAACGATACCTTCACTGTAAAAGTTGTATATAATTAAAAACAATTCCATATCTCAAACAGAAACTGAAGTAAAATTAAACTGAGCATATATAATACCTTTGCTCAATCGACCTCGCTAGACGTATAAGAGAAGACACACATCTCCAGAGGTAATTGACAAGAGAAGTTAAACGCCTGCAGCTGATTATCAGTTTGTTGGAGGTTTAGAATGCAGGACAAGTTCTTCCCTCAAATCTCCCCACTCTCTCTACTTCAGAAGGTCAAGCCTTGGAGAGGAGGCGGGTTCTTTTTTTTTAGCTTTCGCTTTGCTAAAGTTAAGAGAGTAAAAGGCCCTGCGAGAACTGTTGTTCGGCATTCTTAATATGCGAAAGAGCACAGAAGTATTGTAGCTTCCCAATGACTTACTCACACCATAAGGAGCAAAATGTATGCAGCCTCCCGTTGGTTGTGTCTGTTCCACGATGAATTGAACGCATGTCCGATTAATGTTTGGTCTTGTTAAGCCAACGAATCTCTTGTTCAGGCAGGACAGCGATGTTGCAAGATGTGAAGCGAAGTGCAGCCACTGCCGCGCATACGCGTGAATGCCAGCGAGGAGCGCTCTGCTGTTTCACACCCAGGCCTTGCCCGCTGACTGTTAGGGTGCCCTGATTGCGTTCGAACTGTCGATGCTCTAGCGATTACAATACATGTTTAACCGCAAGATATTGGAAGGGGGGTCGCGAAGCGCCTGATAAAATTTAAACAATCTGAACATGACTTCTGTGCGGTGGCTTCAATAATACCCAATTAAGGGACGCAGCTAAAACTTGAGATGGAAAAGGATTGCGGCGTCCATTTCCCGACGTTGTCTTTACAAAGTATGCTATAACGCACAAACTCACTTAGTCAACAATCCTTCTGGCGCTGTGAGACGCTGCAAGGCGTGGTAGCTGCAGCGCATACGTGAGCTAGGTGACGCTGCGTGGATCTGCTATATCATAGCCTCCTCTATCCTCACAAAACCTGTCAGTTCGACGACGAAGCCATAAAGTGCCCGGTTGCAGATTTGGAGCGCGAAGATCTGGTAGCACTGAGAATTTCTTGGGGAACCTGGACGTCAGTGCACAGCTTTTGCACCGGCGAGGACCCGAAGCATCATTTTCAAACCCGACGAGGAAAGAAGCGGTAGAGCGAGGAACGCGAGGAGAACGAGCGGGCATCACATCGCACGAGAGAAGTGTGTTTCGGCGTCGCGCCGCTGCGGGGCGCCCGTCACGTGACTCTCCTCTCATCTGTTGTCTGCCGCTGCACCTTTTCCATTTCGGCGGCCACTTCTCGTGGCGATATGCCAGGCGTTGTCACTATAGACCTTTTCTGTGTACTCTCATCAACAGCAACCTAACAGGCGTATCCGGTATGGGCGATGAAAAAATAATCCAGCGTTTAAACCTGCAAATAGTAAAAAAATAAAGGGGAGGCAAAAGGAGAAAGCGTGACGGTTACGCTTATATCCTAAATGCCTTCTATTGGCGTGGCAAAGGCTAAAACACGTTTTCGCCCATACTGGAAGTGACGTCATTTCAATATGGCGGCGCACCTGCAGAAAAGGTCTATAGAGAAAGCTGTGACTATGTTCACTGACAGAATGTGAACGTCAAGGTGTGTCTTTCCAACGCCCAGCCTCCAGCACGCGCTCCATATCTCCCGCTGCGCTTCGGCTGCGCGCGCGCGCTCGAAGTGCATGTGGCGGGGTAGAGTTGACGAATCTAAGAAGCTCTCGCTCTTAGCTGCGAGTTGTTTTAGGGGCGCCCTCCTATGGTTCCCCCTTGTGAAGTAATTACCTTGCGAAAAACAAGTTCGATGGTGTTTGTAAATAGCATGGTGGAAGCCTGAAATCGTTGCGCTCTCAAAGCAACACTGCCAACACCGTCGAAATTAAAGTTCTTTCATTCCTCTTATTTCCGTCAATATTATACCCTTTCTGACGTCTTAGTCAGCTTTTGGCCAATCGTGGAAGGCCGACCACAGCGACGCTTTCGGTCGCGCACGTCTCCAATAGTCGGGGCAACTGAAGCTGCTCCGTGCTGTTATCACATTGTCGGTGTGACTATTGTAGCTTCGTGCGATTTACCTACATCTCCTACACTTGTGCAGGGAAGTCTAGGGCGGTGTACGTCATGTAATATCTGAATAAACTTACAGGAAGTACTCTGCAGTACACTCTTCTGCACCGGTGCAGGAAGTGCAGGTGCACCGAACGAAGCTACTCATGTCGTTTGTGGGAGCGGTGAGCGCTGTTCCGGCTCCTATATGACCATCCAAGCAGCCGAGCTTGCACGCTCTATTCGGAGCGCAAGTTCGTCAACTCCTTTTGCAGGGTTTGTGGTGACGTCAGCAAGCCGAGCTCTGATTCACTTTGATGGAAGGATAGCGGCTAGACGTCAAGGCAGCTTGCGTTGAAATCTACCCATTAATATTCAATCTGTGCCAATCAAAGCTCGGCGTTTTGACGTCACCACAGCGACTTCATAAAAAGCAGATGAACTTGCGCTCCACATGGGTAAGCCTCGGAAGTCCGTAGGTGGTTCCGAAGTACGCAAATTTCAGTTACGTCGCGCTGGGGAGGCTCGTCGTAGACAAAGTACGGATGAGGCACGGGAGCGGAATTGAGAGAGGAGGCGAAGATGGCGTGAAAGTCCTCAGAGTCGCGCCCAGCAGGCGGTTCACAAGCGACAACTGCGCTACAATAATGCCGAATTACACGAGGGTCAAGTCACTGTAGCTGTGGCGCACGTTAGGCGGTAGCGTAAATGTACTCGGATTTGTTTTGCCTTGACAGCAGTGGGCCGCGAGCCGGGCGTCGCTGAAAAGGCCATGGCAGTCCGCGAAACACAGTCTTTTAGTTGTATTTAATAGGAAACCCTCGCTCTATATGAGCAGCTTGATAAAGCAGATGATATCAAACCCTTCCCGGAGCTCTATTGAAACTTCTGTTTCTGATTCGATTGTACAGGCACCCCAAGTTAGGTTATGACTAGAATTCAACATTTTCGGTATATACCGATATACCCCTAAAATGAACTCCGCAGCTGGTTTTCACAATATCACGGAGCTGTCCTTGAACGTTATGACTTTGACGTTTCAGAAAACTGTGACCATTCATAATTTATAGAAAAAGCACACCCCCAACTACAAGGAAATAATAAACCTCTGAACCACGGAACCCTTAGTTACAAACCTAGAATGAATACGCGTGTTCCGAAATGTCAGAACACGCTCTGGATATAACCTTTCCTAACTCGCTCTACAAGTAGTATTTTCTACTTCCCGTGGAACAGTAACACCATGGGGTTTGATCTAATGTTAGGCCATTACTGTCTCTTTACAGGTGAACTTCGTTCTCTTTCTTAACATCACGCGGGTTCTGTTCGCTAAACTCTTCGCTTCACAGACGCCTCAGGCACGAAAGTACCGCTACAGGTAAGAAGCAGTCGGTCCGTAAGAATGACCCCTACGTACTGCTCGGTGCCTGACCCGTTCATACTGAGATTGGCCCGTCTCTTCTTTTCTGGATTTGTTAAATGTCCCCCCCCCCCCCCCTAACGCATGATAGCTCCTCGTATTCTTTCCTGATTTAAAATTTTGCCCTTATGTTATTTTTTGCTAGCAAAAAAACATATAGTGTATCGCTTTTGTGTGTCTGCTTTCAAATACGTTTTTATAAGTATTATTTTTTGCACAAAGTTCATCAAGGCGACTTGGGAAGTTCGTTTGCATTCAGGTCAGTCAAAATTAACCGAACGTGACAAAGCAAACACCAAAAGTCTAAAGAGTCAAGTAGGGTTTCTCTGAAGAACCTTTTTGTTGCAGTCTCCCTGCTGATGAAGATAAACGGCGGCTGAATAAGCAAACCTACACTCTCAAAAATAGGGGGTGTAATATTCCCAAGCAAAATAAATCTACACTCCCAATAGAAAACAATTTACCGCAAAACTAAACTATTCATTACAAAACTAATTCTCAGCCCCCGTGTAGCCCTAGCGACGTGAACCATGTGTGGAAGCTTCAAACTAACCGTTGTCTCAGTCAAAAGTTATTGGTGATTTTCTAAAAAAAATGGCAGTCAGAAACTTGGGCACGTTTTCGCCCCTTTTTCTGTACCTGGCGCCAATCAGCTGCATGCATTATAATAGCTGCATCGGCCACCATTTTCCCATTAAAAATATCAGAATATCTGTTATAGCTATTGAATAAGATACACGGTTACTTCAAAAGCTTTGGCCGCTAGGGCTACATTTGGCCGTGGAAAGATTGCTTGGTCATGCCTATTTTATCTTTGTGGTAAAAAACAAGAACCATTGTAAATTGTTTTTGGGGCTCCCTGTACTTACATCTTTTGTCCGATATATTACACCCGAAACATGAAAGCCGTTTAACGTCGAATTTGAGCGAAGCTCTTGAGGAAGAAAAAGGGAAGGTACGGAGAGGGGGCTATGCCCCTCTCCCTCTACTGCTCGCCCTCCATTTAGGGGAAAAATGTTCGCTAAATTTAGCGGAAAAAAAATTACCCGCTGAATTTACAGGGGGAAATTTTTCCGCTAGATTTAGCGGGGGATTTTTCCAGCTAAATTTGGCGGGGAGATTTTTCTCTAATTTGGAGGGGAAATTTTTGCGGTAGATCTATCGTTGAATTTTTTTCCGCTTTATATAGCGGGTATTTTTTTCCGCTAAATTTAGTGGGGAAATTCTTCCGCTAAATTTAGCGGGGAAACACGTAGCGCAGAAATTTTCCCGCTAAAGTTAGCGGGTAAAAGTTTCCGCTAAATTTAGGGAAAAGTTTCCGCTAAATTTAGTGGGGAAATTTACCCATCATGCACCGCGCGGTTACGCCGACGCCGCTCAAGCCGGAAACGGGCGCCTTAGAGCTGCGCTATAAAAAAATACATCTCGCCCCTCAGTTCACGGACATTGAACCGACGATACCAACTTTCACGAGCGTCCTTATAGTCGAGTGATACAACTTATTAAAATATATTATGTACACATTAAGGACTACATGAAAATTCTTAAAGTTTTGGTGAACCTGCTGCAAAAACCTCAGCACTTTTTTTTTTATTTCTGTGGTTTATGGTATGTACCTGCATTAGCTCTTTAGTAAGTTACGCAACACAGCTATCAAGACGCTCGTAAATAATGGTATCGTCAGTGGACGCTTCGCTGAAATGTAGTTTTTGGGGTAAACACCTTTCCAAAAAACGCTCCTAAGTCGCCGCCATATTTCTGATGCGGCTGGTGTGACTCTCGCGTCCTCTATCAGCTAAAAATTTTCTGGCACTCTCTCGGACTGTGAAGACCAGCTGAGCGCGGTTTTCTACCTACGTTTTTCCGGTTTCGCATTCGACGTTTTCTCGGCCCTCTTGAAAGTTTCCACTTGATTTTTTTTATGCGTGCTGCGTACCCTTTTTGTGTTATCTTCCATTGTGAGAAATAAGGCTGGTAAGTGCTTGCCATTCAAGCTTTTCTGTTTGACGTTCACGGGAAACGAACGAGGTGAAGGACCTCGAACGACCCTTGACGCGATTTTGCGAACATTGTTCTCAACTCTTTCAGAGCTAATCCGCGTAGAATCTTCAGTCATATTCAAAAATAATTGTCCGGGTTGGGGTGAGAGACGGGTCAGTCGCGCTCATTCCTCTGCCGTTATGCGGTTATGAAAAAAGGAAGCTCTCCCCAAAACCTGCCCCAAAACGAAGTCAATTCGGATTCCGTCCGATCGTCAATATGTGACTGTCGTCGACTGTGACTGTGTTATTTGAGAACTTTTTCAAATAAATTCTTTTCTGATAACGTTGCATCGTGTGATATGTACGATATATTGTTGGAATGTTAACACTTCCTCAATTGTATGTCCGTGTCCTGTCCATCGGTGAACACGTTATTTGCGAGTGTGAAAAATGCATGCCTTTCGGCCCTCTTCTGGTGCAATTCATTTTTGACAGCAAAGCCTTTGTCGATTCACATGCGGCGAGTCCCGCAGCGCGTCAAAACTTATAGTAAGAAATAAACAAATAACTACAGCTATACATTTCAGTCTCATTCGTTCTGTCGCGCGTGTACCCAAAAACAATAGTTTACACTTTTTTTTTATTTTGCTTTTTGCCTTTTTTCAAGTGTGGCACAATGCTTTCTCAATGTCCTCGGGAACATACATGCACCACGAAACACGAAATATAGCGGGAAAAGACGAGAATTTAGCCTCCAGCAGCGTTTGAAACTGCGCCTACGCGGGCTGCGCCTATTGAAATCACAGTCCACTTGGTTAGTGTTAGGCGGGACGCCCAGTGAGAGTCTAGCCTCAAACTCAGTGACTGGGCTCGAAAACGGTTTGTTGCCCCTGGGGTCGAGCGTTTTTTTGAGAGGTGTGTATGATGCAAGGGGGGTAAGCACTACTACACGATATCTGAGAGTGTGGAACGGCAGTGAGGATTCCATTCAGTTTGTAAATTGTATTTTAGCTGCCTGAAAATTTGAAAGATGTAAATTTCAAAATAGAAGAAGTGTAAAAGTTATTCTGCTATTTATTTTAAGCGGCCGACTCCTTGCGGTGACAGTTTTTGTTGTTGTTTAGAAAGGACGCTTACGATAATTACAATAATAACCTACTAGACTGTAATACATCACTTTTTAGACTTTATTTTTTCGTATGTAGTTTTTCGCAAACAATTTTCAAAAATGAAGCAAAATTTAGTGGCATTTTTTTCTTATTGGGAGTGCAGCGATTGCGTAATTCTTAGTCAACTGTGTCCTGACACGCTCGTGTTATTTTTGATGAGGTGACCAGGTATGCAACTGCATGACACTGCTTGTATTTATTTTTTACAAATAAGGAACAGGACTCCGTTTTGGAAGTCAACCTGACATCGGGCAACCTGAAAATGTTCTAGCACGAAAGATTCTTTTTCAATTTACCCCATAGCTCGAAGTTTTCGCTTGAGCTTGGAACTCAGAATTGGCGAGTTTGTGAGACGTTTGTTTTGCTTCATTTCTTTTTTTTCATTCAAAAATAAAAAGGGCAGCGCAATTACAGGCTGCAGTAAAAACGGCCCTATATTTCATTTGCATGTATCGCGAGATAAGTGTGAGTGAATACATTCACTCGACAGAATTATTCTAGTCGTTACGAAAAACAGTAACGAAATCCGTTATACTCGTTACTTATAAAATAAAGGAACGCGTTAGCGGAAAGCGTTACATCAAAATAAAAGCAACGAGTTACCGTTACAGATAAAAAGTAACGCACGTTACGCCCGCGTTACTTCGTATTTTATCAATTGACGGTAAGACCGTTTTTGTTTTGTCTACAGCGTTTTTCGACACTGGGACAAAGGGGGTGGACGCTGGGGTTTTCTAAAATGGGACATTTTTCGCGGGGAAGAGAAGCCCAAACTTTTTAAGGTATGCGGAATGAGTGCAGTAAACAAATAATTGGCCCCTATACTTGGTTTCAGCTTAAGTCCGAACGCAACCGACGCGACGGGCTAGCGGGAGCGATCGAGCAGCGTCAATTGTTTTTGTTTGTGACTGGTTCAGCGACGATAGAAAACGTACAGAAACATAAGGAACGCCTTGATAGTGCCCTTCTGACGCTGTCATATCGGTCCTATCAGCTCTATCGCGTCGCCTGCGTCTAGAATTAAGGTGAAACGAAGCATACAAACACGAAAAAAATGCAAGTGTACATTTTTATAGGTTTCGCGAAGAAGACACAGGGAGTAACGTAACTAAGTTACCCGTTACTCGAAATAAGTAACGTAAGAACGTTACCCGTTACTCGAAATAAGTAACGTAAGAACGTTACCCGTTACCGTCTTGAAAACGTTACGAGTACGCCACTACGTTACCGAAAAAGTAACGGGTTACTGGTAAAAACGCCGTTGCTTAAAACGCTTTAGCGCCAACACTGCTAAACTAAAACTCGGCGTTCAAATGGCACAGCGCTAAAAACCTTTGGCAAAGCGTACTTTCTTGCCCATCATCTAGCAGATTATTGCCCGGGGAAAATACTCGAATCTACAGTATGTAAATCGCTGTGGTACAAACTGCACCAGTGAGCTTCGTAACAAAAATTATTATACTTCTGCTCCACATAGTTAAGCATATTGTGGTCCACTCTATCAGGCAGTAACGGTTTTCGCTGATACCGAAATATACATGAAAATTGAGCGCTTGGATGAAACTCATCAAAACCATTAGTTCCTCTACGTCACAAGAATTCACTACTAAAAAGTTTGTGAGTTTAATTTCCGGCTAAACACGAAATCAGCAAATCACGGTGGACAACAAAAACATTGCAGCAAACGACGAAGTTTATTATGCAATTGGATAAAACAAACGACAGATGTGAGGTTGTGGGGAAAGCGAAACGCCATCCTCACTGTCCTATACCTGCATTGTTTTATTTGGTCAAATCGTATTTTGAGTTGTGTGATTCCTCAGACCCTTCGATTGTTCGACTAGATTGACCGCTTCCGTGTTCTGCACGACTCCGAACTCACAGACCTTTTTAGTGATCATCAAAGTCTTCCTTTTTTTTTGTTATCGAGTCAGTCATGGCTACACAATCTCTGAACGTCAGCACCTGACCTCGTTAACGGGGAGTTGAAATGCTGTTTTCCAGGAAATGGTTCAAGTCCACGCTGGTTCTTGTCCCATTGTTCGGAGCGCACTATACTTTCCTACTCGGAATGTCCTTGGCTGCCGCGGGGGACCGCGTCGAGTTGATATGGCTCTACGTTGACCAGCTCTTCTCTTCATCTCAGGTAAGCGACGCACTCCCGTCCTCTGGAGTGGCCCTCCAAGTTTTTTTTTATTCACCGTCGTTGAAGACTTAACATAAAGTACCCACTTTAAAGAGCCGATTACCTATAGGTTGGGATCAGTTGTGCCGCTGAGCTTTCGATAATGATGGCGATGGCGTTGCCAACGGCCTGGAAGGTTTGTTTATAAAGGGGTGTTATGGTTTTGAATTGCAGAATTTCATCCTAACCGAAGCTATAACTCCGATGTCACCTTGAAAGGTGAAGCGTACAACGGTCAAAGAGAGTTGGTCTAGTTGGCCGGCCCAACTTGCCGAAAGCTGGGCCGGCCGCACAACACTATTGGAAACAAAAAGAACAACCAAGAACAAGATAGCCGCGAATGCTTAAAACCAACAAAACAAGGAAAATAAACGGCACAAACCGATGACATGGCAAGGCTGACACGACGTCGCGTGCCTGGTAGGATTCTGGGTCTTTCCATGCCAAAGGAGACGCTGCAATCGTTCCATGTCTGGGATATGTACGATAAATTTAATTTGTATAACAGAAGCATCTGAACTCAAAGAAAAGTTTTTTTTTCCTGAAATTGTTCTTATCCTTATTTTTGCTGATATCAAGCTCTAAATTTCAGAAATTCGCATAAAACTCATGTAGTTAAGGAAAAAAACAAAAAACAGTGAAAAAAACGGTGCCGTACGCCACAACTTTAGGTGGGCGACTACTGACTTAATAATGTGCCTCACACTCAGACATTGCAAGACGCCAATTCTAATCCAAATAAGAGCTCGAAACAAAAAAGAGACTTTACGAGATTTTTGTTTCTTTGTTTCTGTTATTCAACTTGAATTGGGGTAATAGGTACAATACTTTTTGTTCTAATAATTAATAATTGAATTCTTTGTATTAAGCTTTCAAACTCTCGCTTTGTTGCCTTTATTAAAATGACAAAAACTATTATGCAGGCAGAAACACCCATATTGAGGGCCAGAAAAACAATGTGAGCAACGGTGCCAGCAACTTTCAAAATACCCACAAGTTCAACCCACCTCATCTCTTCAAAGACAAAAAAAAAATTGTTATTGTTATTTCTTTTGGTCTTTTAAAGGGGAGTCTCTGATTTTTCCTCCAGGCGCCCAATTCGTGGGCGACGCACGCCGGCGTTCGCCAGCGACCCGTCAACGTTGTCAGACGCCGACGCAAAGTCTTCAACGCTCTCCTGAAAAGACGCTTTGTTCAGTTGAAGCGGACACTATCATCACTTCAATGCATCCGTATCCTCTTAACGTTACGCAATAATGCTGCCGTCTCAATTTTACTCTATTTCTGCCCGCGTAATTGAGGACGAACAGGCCTGCGTTGTCCGCTTCCAGAGTTTGGAAATGCATACTGCGCTTCAGCCTCGTCTTTCGTATGTTCAAGTATAAAGAAATGCAATCCAGACCGGATAGCTCTTCACCAATGCGAAATCATAAGGGTGATGCCACTTCCCCATTGGATTTAAGAGGGAAGTAAATAGGAGTATACGATCGTCTATTCCTGGTCATAACTGATTCCACGGGCCCTAAGCACCATTCAAATCTAAAAGTTACAATCACGCCACGGTGATCTCAGTATTGAAAGCATGATGAAAGGTCGGGGCACAACCCTATCTGAGCATATTTTCCCGCTCAGGCAGACCAAAACAGCGGTGTCAGCGCAGGGACGATGGGTGCTCGCCGGCCAATACGCCTCGCAAGTGGGCTCATTTTCGTCTTCTGCGCATGAGAAAGGAAGTAGCGGTGACGTCAGAACGCGATTGGCTGATCGCGACCCCCTATTTCAGCGTCGTCTGCTCCTTTGCAACGTCGTTTGCGTCTGTTTTACCTTTCCTGCGGAAGTCGAGCGAGCTCGACTTCGCCTTTCAGAGAGGGCAGACGAAATAATTTGAGCGGTACGTTGTTTTTTTCTAACTAGCAGACGCGCATCAAGGAGGGAAGTCAAAGGTCTCACTGGCGAGGTGTCCCGAGGCGCCGAGGTATGTTTGGTAAGAACAGAGAGTGAGGGTGGCTAGTGTCCGCAAGTTCCCTCCCAAATAATTTTTTCCTCCTTTCGTGTGCGGCGAGACCCCTCATTCTTTAACGGCGTCGGCGGGTTGGCGTAGTTAACCTCGTCTGCTTTACGTCTGCTAGTCAAAGCGATGGCTGCTTTACCTTTCCTGCGTCTGTCGGAGATTCACCGCTTTTTCACCGGCGAGAGTCACCGTTGCCTCGGGAAACAAGGAGATAACAAGAGGAAGAAATTGACCTCTTAATCTAAAACTGAGGTCAGCGATCAAAGTATAATACGGGAAGAGTTCACAAGGGTCGCGCGGGCATATTCCATTCAGCACACCAGCCGGTCGTTGGCAGACGGTCGCCAAGTCGCGGAGTGCCTGCTAGGCCTAACTGCCGTGCTCGCTTGGTCGCGTTCGGTGGAATCTTGGCCGTTGGAGCTTTTCCCGGGTGTTTGTGGATCCAGCGTTCTTGTTCGTCGTGGTCTGTTTCAAGTACTTTTTACTTTTTTCCTTGCTGCTTGAAGTCGGGACGCGTGAGAAGCGTACGTGGAAAAATAAACGTCCGTGGGTCGTCGCGACCGCGACGCTGTCGGCCATGCTGATTTGATCGTAAGAAGTGCTTAGACAGCTTCGGAGCTGTCGTAGGATTTCGTCGTAACCTGCGCAAAACGTACGAAAATTTCGTTTCGTGAATACGAATTTGTTCTTAAGTTATGTCTTACGCACATTTTTGGCGTAAGATCGTTTCGTGAATCTGGCCTCTGCACTTCCGAAAGTCGCTGGAAAGGTAAGACAGACGCAGACGACGTTGCAAGCAGACGACGTTGCAAAGGAGCAGACGACGCTCAGATAGGGGGGTCGCGATCAGCCAATCAGGGCTCGGCGTTCTGACGTCACCGCTACCCCCTGCGCCAGAAGCAGACGAACTTGCCCACCGCATAGCAAGCCATCTCTTAAGGCTGCGTGCGATTGGCAGACGAGTGCGATCGTCACCGCACTGACACCGGTGCTTGAGCAAAAAAATACGCTCAGGAAAGGGTGTGTCCCGACTTTTCATCGCGATGCCGATTTTGTTTAGGATCCTTACGGCCAACAGAATCCGTTATGACCAAGAACAGACGATCGCAACCTCATCTTTATCGCCCCTTTCAATGCATTTTGATAGAAAATGTAGTGTTACCAGAAGCAGTGTAATGATGGAAAAAGCATGCCTCTCTTTGAGGCGGAGGCCTCACATATCCGAGGTTCCGTACGTGTACAGTATTTTAGACTCCGCAATACACTGGAAGCCAGCAGAACAGATCTCGAATTGTGAACTCACTAGGATATGTAGAGGAAGTGTGTTTGATGAAATGTGTGAATGACTGTGGTGCCGTCTTCGCCATGTGAGCGGCAGGGTCGACGGACAATAAATGAGGGAATAATTGTCATGGTAAGTCAGTTTATTAAAGGATTGTTGATTAACTTTTAATTAATGGTTTTATAGCCTATGCTGCGATTACAGTATTGGCGCCAACTACTGGCACAAGCTTTACCAATTGACACAATTGGCGAAAAGGTAATAATGTTTGTATTTTCATCGATCAGGTTTTCGCGTTTTTACTGCGGACTAGAATATTGCGCGCAAAAATATTGCCGCAAGCCCTGCCCATAATGACACTTAGAATAGTTACCTACTCGTTAGTATGGCGTCGCCAGCATATCGGCAGCGCGTCCTTGGTGGATGCGCCAACAAACTTCAATGCACTTAGCTGGGTCAAACGGCATATCAGTTTATTGTGAAAGCTACATCACTGTTATAGTTTCGCTTAGATAAATGGCTACCTGGTGTTAATTAGGTTTCTGTCTGGAGAAATGACAAGAGGTCGACGCGCCTGCGCGTTCCCTACCTCGGGAAGCAAACGATGCAGGCCTGCGCTCGTCGCCAGTTATGACCTGGGGGCAGAGATGAGAAAAATAGATGCAAATATGTATCAAAATACAAATACAAAAGACTCCGTCAAAAATGTATTTAATTACAAGTCTAATTACATTTCCAAAAAAAGCATTTAAGTACAATATACAAATACAACCAAATGTATTTAGTCTCCTCCAAATACTTTTCCAAATACATTCCTCAAAATTTGCGTCAGCGACTTCAGGACACCTGCAACGGGTTTCTGGGTATCTCATTTTAATTTTGCATCGCACACTGGGTAGTCACTGTGAGAGGCTCTAGTGACGTAATAGAAATATAATCACACAAAAAAATGTAATCAGCTTGGACGTAATACGTGAAAAAATACAGAGCTTCAAGCAGCTTTTTTTGTCGATTACATTTTGGTATAGACCAACTAAGAACCGAGACGACCAAGACGCGCAGCACTAGCTAGAGAATTATTTATTGTTGCAACTCGCACCAGTTACGAAAATCTGGACGACCCGCGCATTTAGAATGTTCCAGGCACAAATATAGATGGAAATCAGGCTGGAAAGCGTCACAGGCACTTATTTAGGCAGTCTGCCTGTGAACGTCAATTTCGTCACTATTCTTGCTCTGGACTAGCACCATAATCACAAAGTCACTAAACGCTTGTGTTTGATTGAGAGACACTGCATTCGGAGCAGAACGTAGTTTACTTCCTGCTCTGGACAGTGACAATAAATTTGAGGGATGTATTTTCGCCCACAAAATTGAATTTAATTACAATTGTATTTGAAATACCCACGTTTCAGTATTTAAATACACACGTCAAATACATTACGCAATTTGTAATTAAATACAAAAGCAAAATACACAAAGTATTTGAAATACGTATTTCCAATACTTGTATTGGAAATACTGCCCATCCCTGCCTGGGGGTAAGTAGAGTAAAATTTTGACGCCAGTATCATTACGTAACGCAAAGAGTATAGGGATGCATGGAAGGGGGGATAATGTTTACTTTAACCGAATAGAACGAGCTTTCAGGAGAGTGTTGAACACCTT